GTATATGAAATATCTAGTTATAAAAATAGGTTTGGATTATTTGTGTGATTTCTCTTAAAAAATCAATTAAGAAATTAAAAGTAATCGTAAATTATACTATTAAGTTATAGTTTGTCAAAAACTAGTTACACTCATTTTAATATTATTTATTTGTTCTTTAATCACATTTATGGGAAAAGTTTAAATAATAGAAGATGCTACATATTGAAAACTTCATATTTTTTGTTTCTCGCTAAATACATGTTTATACATATAATTCATCATAACTTTGGATTTCTTTATTTAAACTTCTTTGTAAAATCGGATTCATGTGTCAATTTTGTTTGTTGTAATAACAAAAAATAACTATCTAGAATGGAGCAATTGTCATTTGTCGATAAGGAGATTTTTGCCAGAAAATGGCATTTAACAAATGTAAAAAAGTATTACAAACATTGATAGTAACAACTCCTACTGAAATCAATATGGATTGTCATATATGAGATTAGAACAACGTTACATACCTTTTGTCATATATATGTGATCGAAGGTATGATTTAATTTACCAAGATGCAACAGATTGAAAAAATATATATAAACAACTATATTAAAATCTCATAGAAAAAATAATACACACTAAATAGAACACATATTAAAATATCTATATTAATAGTATAATTTAGGGTTACTTTTAATATAGGGTAACTAGTGTAACTAGTTTTTGACAAACTATAACTTCATAGTATAATTTAGGATTACTTTTAATTTCTTAATTGATTTTTTAAGAGAAATCATACAAATAATCCAAACCTATTTTTATAATTAGATATTTCATATACAAAAAAGTTTTTATATAGAAAAAATAAGATTTGTATGTGAAAATATGTTTTTTTGTATAAATATGAGTTTTAAAGAAAAAACATATTAGAAACAAACTTTTGAGAAAAAAAAGTTGCAAAAAAGACTAAAGTTAGGATGAATTCATAATAAAATTCTAAAATTTTGGCAAAAAATGTAAATTTTAGACCAAATTTGTAAAAAAATTTAAAATCTGGGCCAAAAATGTAAAATTTGGACCAAATTTGTAATAAATTTTAAAATCTGGGCCGAAAATGTAATTTTTGAAAGTTGGATGACCTATTGACTGGGTCAAAGGGTTAAATTGAATACGATTACCAGTATTTGTGACTTAATTGAATAAAAAAAATATATAAGGGCTAAATCGATTATGAGGTCAATATGTAGGAACTTTATTGTAGTTTTTCCTTAAATATATATTAATATAAAGAAATATATAATATAGTAATGTATTCAAACACATTTGAAACAATATAAACATAAAAAGAACTTATATGAAACAACATAAACAAATATAAATGAACGTAAACAAACAAAATAAATAAGCGTTCATGAACATAATTGAACGAACAAGAACATTGTTTATGTTCGTTCGTTTAACTTAACAAATGAGGATTTGTGTTTATGTTCTTTTATTTATTTAATAAACGAACATAAACAAACTTATTGTCGAACAATTCACGAACAATTTGCTGAATGTTCGGTTCGTTTACAGTCATAGGTCGCATATATATTTTTTGAATTTTGGGTTATTCTAGTTCGATGTAAATGATTAATAATTTTTTTTAACTTAATAGATTGCATACTTAAAAATATTATTTAAATGCTTATTAATATTTCAGAAATGTAAATTTGTAAGGTTGCAAGTATACTTGTAAAATGATTAGCATTTTGGAATATTTTTTTTCTTATTATAAACTTTTCTTGTAACCCATTACCCACATAACTATCCATTTGAATTATTTAGCTAAAAGCTAATCAAAAGTTAATTTAATACAATGAAATCAAATCATTTGTAAACTATAAGGAAAGAATAACATATATAACAATAAATCCAATGCATTTAAAAATATACTTTGTAAGGGTGAATGTACACTACTAGAAATTTGGCTTTCAGCTAGGGATTCAGAGAGGATTTTATTCTGTAGCAAATTTTAGGCCTTATAGCGAGCAAATTACGAGAGATATGCGATGGTTTAAAAGATTATTTTATTTATTCAACATAATGCATATTAGAGAGGGTTTAGCGAGGGATCAGCTACGGATCTCGCAACTATTTATCGACGCATTCTTATTCCTCGGCAATCGGTTGAAAACGAAGGCATTTGGCGAGGGTTCAATGAGGGATAAAAAAAGTGTCGACTTTTTTCCATCTGGTACGTGTTTATCGAGGGATTGCCGACGGAGGGTACGCGCGTTATGTTTTTTTAATTGACGATCTCTCGCTGAAATTGGCGCTATCCAATTCCAGTTTCACGAAGGTTATGTAAGTTTCCTTCTCTCCCAAATCTGTTTTATCACTCCAATTGAGCACACATGATTCTCGAGTTGCAGCTTAACCTAATCTCACCTTCTCCGTTCAAACAGATGATGACACCACTGACCAATGCAGCTTTCGATTCCGGCAGCCTCCACATTTTTAAAATCTAAAATTATTCTTCGTTAACTTCCGATTCATGTAAATCTCTTGATTTTATTTGCTTTAGTCGTATATTAGGTTAGGTTTACGTTAGGGCTTAATTTCTCCATTTTTTCGTTTTTCAATCGTCATTCCTCTTATATCTCAGCATTATATATACACGAATCACCTTGAAGCTTTCTGGTTATTGTGTATCATAGCCATATGGAATGCCTTCTTCTTTATCAGCAAATTAATTTCAGGTCTAGCATCGATTGCATCTATATAAGAATAGACACTTAGAATTAGAACTTCATTTAGGGATTGATTGGTTAATTATTGTTTAAAAGCTATAAATTGGTTACTTGTTGTTGATCCATGAGTTCTTACAGGTCTAGCCTACATGAATTTTATGGAAAAGTAAGTAGAAGGGAATTAAAACACCGATAAAGAACATATAGTGGTTTAGAGAATAGCTTACCCAAAATGACACCTAATTTGCTCCCCTTAAGTTTACTCCTGTTGTTCTTGTCAATTGGAAAGCCTGCTTTGAAGTACACAACTGTGAACATAAACGTCTTGAACATAGTCTCATCTCCTATTTCTACGAACAAACACCTTTATAAGAATAGAAATTGTTTTTGTATTTCTTTTGGTGAATTCACTTAAGGTTCATTAGACTATATTTGTATTTTTATCTGACTCACAGCCTTGCTAGTTGAATTTAACAGGTTAATTGAGAATTAGATGATAGTTTGAAACAAAAAGATAGGGCATACCTAATAATAAAGGCCAATTGTAGAGAAAAGAAATGTATTTCAGACAAAATGTTGTGCAAGTTATAAGTTTATAATCATATAAGGGACCCACCAAATCCTAATCACTTCAAAAAGAAATTGACTTATTTAAATTATCTATTTGGATCATCTGTAAAAAACTTGTTTATAATTGAGATTTCAGATAATGTCTTTTAGGTTATGATTGTTTTAAAAGTTTAAACTTGCAACATATTACTTTGGTTTTATGTGTATAACATATCACAGAAAATGTAAGTTTGTTACTATATATGTCTATTTACTATCTCTAGGTTGTCAAAATTTTGATTTTACCTGATGCATCATCATATGAACAAACACCTTTATAACTGTTTATATATTGTTGTGCACTGAAGGTTCATTTTCTATGATAATATACCTGTTTTTGTATATCTTTTGGTGAATTCACTTAAGTAACAAGCTTCTATGTGAGGGAATTCAACATAAAACAGTGCAAACTCTGAGTGCTTATATTACCAGGCTTATTAGGAGTTACTTTCTTCAACTTCTCTGTCTAATCTATGAGTTACAGGAAACTGGGTTTGCTTTTCTATTTTCTGACCGTTTTACCCCTGGACACGAATGTGTGGATCTTTGTTGTGTTTAGGTAGTTCATAGTTTGTCAATACTATCTTTACATATGTTATTAATCGGTTCGGTTATTTTGGTTATAAAAAATAATCAATAAAATGAAAAGTCTTATAGTTAGTGATATGGGATGATAAAAGTCTTACTGTTCAGCTATGTACAGGTGTTTTGTACTAGATAGTTGATACAGAAAGAACAGACTTTCTCCATTTACGTCCCAACTTTTTTTTTACAAAATCATTTTTTTATAGAATTCATACTCTCCAACTTCTTTTCTTTCTCTCTTTTTTTTTTTTTTTTTTTTTTTTACATATTTGACATTTCATTGTGAATAAAATTCAAGGTAAAAAGAAGTCTAAGATGTTTAAACAATTCGGGTAAATATCTGTGATTTCTCAGTTTTCTGCACAAGACTATCCAATTTTTTTTCAAGCTCTTTAATTTCAAGTTGAAGATATTTTTGCTTAAGTAGAAACAAGTTCCCATTCAATCTTTCACCTTTCAAATTCTGCATCTTTCCATTTACCCACAAAATCCCCTTCATATTTTCAATCTAGTCCTTCATCTTCTCCAACTGTTTCAACTTTAGAATCATTTCCTCCAAAAAAAACCAACAACTTTTTCTTCAAAATAATCACAAAAATCCCATAAATCTATTTTCACTTTCAAAAACATATCTTCAAGAACCTGTTTCTCTAGCAGTAATTTATCAGCTTCCTCCACAACTTTCATGGCTGCTTTCTCATTTATTTCAAATGCAGAACCCATTTTTTGTGACAGCCTTTCTAAGTTCCTCTTGAAGCCTTGTAGCCAAATTAACATTTTGCAACCTCATTTTTCTCAAATTTCCCTCTGCCCGAATCGCCCTGTTCTTGATTCATTAACTCTTCCTCAAGATTCTTGACATGGGTTTCAAGATCTTTAATCACAATATTTGAGTTTGATTTGCCAAAATGTTTCAAAATGAATTCTGATGCAAAATTGACTTCATTTATTTTAATTACTAGTTAGGATCTAAAAAGATGAACGTAACATTATGAGCTCATATCTTTTGATAAATAACACCTCAAATATTAGAAACTTCCCATTCACTTTTAATAAATAACAAACATAACCCATCAAAGCAAGAAAGGTCAAGCTTTATGGTCAAAGACTCAACTGGACTCGACTCGACTATGTATGTACTTTTATATGGGAATCAAAGGAAGAAGATTGAGTTCTTGAAAGTCAGAGGCTTCCTAAAGAGGTAATTGAGGTTATACTATGCTATAAAATAAATAATTTCACATGTATAGCTGCATAATGTTGTTATATGATGCTAATGGTGTTTCAAAGGGATGATCGGTTGAGGTTAAGCCATTCGTCGTCTGTTTTCCCTCCATTTTCAGGTAAGATGCTACATTTATTTTGAAATTTAAACCATATTGAATTGTATTTTAAAAAGGAGGAACAGAGATATGGAGATTGAAGCTGGAAACAACGAAAATTTTGTTGAATCCCCTTTTGAATATATGCATTTCATTACCTACAAATCTGGAACTAAGGTATGATTATGAAACAATATTTCCTTTTAATTTACCAAATGTGTATTATATTTTTTAACTCACTATTTTTATATAAATATATAATAGGTGGAGTTCAAGCAGGCTCTGGTCCCTAGTATGGTTTGCTGGAGAGAACACGTATGGAAGCTCAACATCAGGCGACTGAGGCATCTCTTATGAATTTGGCTGGTAAAAAAATATTTGATGTTTTTGTCTTATAACAGTATAAAGAATTTATAGAAATGAATTCCTTCCACCCTTCCCCTAGTCCTTAGGATTCAAATGGAATCGAATTGCAACAAAACAAACAATGATAATGATTATGACCCTTTTTAGGCAATGTTTTTGCAGATAAGTATCTGTCTCGTGCTAAGTCTGGTGGTGGTCTTTAGATTCTGAGTTAGAGGGGTTGGGTCCTAAGAAAGGGTCGATTGCAGCACTTAATGAACTAGTAAGATCTTAATCAGTTATTGTATGTATATGTTACCTTTTCTTTTCGATTATTTCAGTGTATAATGGAAGGTTTGGGCATGAGTTTCCAACCTCAACCACACGTTTCAAATAACATGGGCCAGACCAACAAGTTATATGCACATGTTGGTAATGTACTATTATTTTGTAGTTATTTTTGACACTTGACATGTTAATTAGTTTTAGTCAATGTCTCTTCAGGTTGAAATAGACGGGGAAGTGTGGGGTAAAGGAGTTGTGTTAACATGGGGTGAAGCTAAGATGCATGTATCTCTTGTCACTTATTTCTTCACATCAATGATCAATGATCAATCCTAATCAAATGTTATTATTATTTTGAATTTTTCTCTCTCATGTTTGACTTTTATCAGGCTACTAAAAGTGTTTTTGTAAATTTGAAAGCAAGGATCAGAGAATACCCACCTCCTCAAAAACGACAACCTTCTCCTAGGTAGGTGGTCACTTTAATCTTTCTTTATTAATAATCTAAAATGTTAATTTCAGGAATGAGAACCGAAGATGATTGGATGAACATGAAAGGAAGAGAGCAGCTAAAATGTTATTTTGAAGTTATGTTTTGTGAAAACTCATTTCCTTTGGGAGTTTGATGTTATGTGGATAGTTTTGTTTTTGGATGATTTTTGAACGATGCTTTGGTAAACAAGTTGGCGATGGATATTCCGTCGCTAAATTTGTCGCAAGGGAAAATCGATCTGTCACTAAAACACTCGCTAGGTTATTAGCCACATTTTAATTATCTATGGACTGTATCAGTCGCTGATGCATCGCAAACAACATTTAGCGACGGAATAGCAACGGATTTGTCCGTCTCTAAAACCCATGTTTCTAGTAGTGGTATTTTGCAAATAGTTTAATATTACTATACTTGTTTATTTTTAATTAATATATTCTACAAATGATTTAATATTGTTGCATTAGAGCAAAATGTCGATTGTTTAAATTAAAACAATATCGTTTCTTACCAATTGGATAGTAGACCAACTTCTATTAAAAACTAGGTTATAGCATATAAAAAGCACAATCGGTATGTTTAAAATTATATATATATATATATATATATATATATATATATATATATATATATATATATATATATATATATATATATATATATAATTTAGCGTAACGATGATTATAAGTAATTCTCAATTAATTTATTAAGTAAATCAAATATAATATTTTACCATATATTTCGAAGATGTTATTAGGATATAATTTTGTATTTTCAAAATTTAAATTGACGTTGATTTGTTATAAAAAAAACGATAAAAATTATAGAAGAATGTTAAGTATTAAACAAACATGTTAGAAAATAGACATGTGATATTTTTAGGTTATACAGTATATGATTTTGTATTTTTAAAAATTGCATTCAATTTTTTATTATTGAAAAAGAGGAAATGGTAAAAATAATAAAAAATATCAAAAAAAAAAAAAAAAAAAAAAAGATCATGTGGTATTTTTAAGTTTCCTTTATTACAATAGATAGATACTTCACCTTTCAAATTGTCACTTTTCAAATTGTGGAAGATGTAAGTCATATTGTTAGTCAAAAGATATATATTTATAACTATAATTAATTAGTGTGTAAGCATTTCTTTTTTTGCTTTTGGTGGTCCAATTTAAGCGTAGGAATGACATTACCAAACAAGTTGGCCAGACAAATTTTGGCATCCACCACCAAACATATGTAACCTAATACCACCAACTCACCCAAAAAGACACCATGGACTTTTTAGCATCTACTACTTTCAAATAACGACATGAAATTTAAATGCCATCTATATTATATAAAATACTTCTGTTTTAGTAACTAATAAGAAACTACGTGACCTTTTCTTATGTATTCTCCTTTTTATGACTCATGTGATGGATCATTAAAAAAAAAAAAAAAAAAAACTGTACCCCTAATAGTCTTACGTAACATTAGTATCATACCAATGGTCGATGGAGCTTTCCCATGTTTTAAACCTGATAGTAGGACACCTCTATTATGTAATTCCATTTCCTAAATGATGGGCTTCCATTGCAAGCAAAAATTCGAAATTCGAAATTCAAAATTAATATTAGAAAAATTCATTACAAGGTACTAGAACATGGATATTTTAGTTCGCAAACATGTCCACAAACGTGGATCATGATTATATATAGAGAAAAAAGAAAAAAAAATCAATAAATACAGTAATATTTTTCTAAGAATTAAACAAAAAATAAGCATATTCAAAAAATTGCCAAAAATTCACATATCCCAACTGCAAAATTAGCAACCCATATGCAAAATTCACTTTCGCAGACATAATGCCAATCTCACAGGTTTCAATTGCAAAATTGATGAGTCCTGCTTTTATATAATATCTCTTTTTTTTTTTTTTTTTTTTTTTTTTACCAAAAAAAAAAAGAACTTGAAAATTCTCGGAACATCAATGTCTAACATATAGCCGTCAATGTTACTCTTAAACCTCGTTCCAAAAATAAGATTTTAAGATGTTTGTAGTTTTAATTCATTATATTTTAAAGTTATTGCATCTTCGTTGTAAGTACTACAGCAAATTATTGAATCATAGATTTGTTGTTGATTTATTTACTTAGTAATGAGAATTTCATAGTTGTCATCTCTGCAATCCGTATTAGTCAACTGAAACTTTTATAGACAACAAACTATTTCGTAGGAGACACCGCCCATGAAAATGTCACCTACAAATTTATTATTTATCTGTTTTTTGCATATGTAAAAACTAAGAAAATAAATTATTACTGGAAGTAATAAATCATATACGGGGGGCTGTTTAAGTGGAGATGGTTGATAAGACAAATACCATAAAAATCACAATATTTTTATGTATAGTTGAAAAAACCGTATTTTTTTTTTGTTGGTTCTGATCACAAATGGGAGGTAGGATTATCACTCTAGGCTTTAGTTTATTTGATAAGTTTCATGTTTAACTCAATTATTTTTTTTACAAAATCAGTTATTTGTTGAAAGTCCAAATATGGTCCCTCTAGTTTGCAAAAACTTACATCACACGGTATTTTAACTTTTTTTTTATTCATTTTTTATATACTTTATTTAGTTATCCTAATTCTAATAAATAAGTAGAACTCTGCCACGTGTCAATCTATAAGACTTCCAAAATAGAGTTTTCCCGCTCATTTTATTCATCTATATTTACGTAAATGTCATACAATCCAAATTCAATAATTCCGGAAAAATCTGCAAACAAATATGTTAATTAATATTCAGATTCGAAAAACCCGATTAATTTTGAAAGTTTGTTTATTTTGATAGCAAATTAAATCCCTAAAAATCTGCAATATTATTCTTTAAAACGTAATCTTCTTGATTCTTATTGATTCATAAATAAGAATCAAGAACGTAAATACCATTCATACGGTTCTTTTCTTTTTACCATTCTGCTCCATAGAAATTCTGCTCCATAGTAATCTTTGCAAAATTATTCTTCTTTATTCTTCTTGATTCTGCAACGCTGAAAAAATCAAATATCAGGTTAGTGTATTAAAATATCAGGATTACTAATATTTCTATGCTCTTAATGGTCTGATTTATCAGTTTCTATCATTTTTTCATTTTATTAGTGATGTTTGTCTTCTTCTTTTTCCTAATTCTTCTTAATCATCTTCTTCTTCTACCTTTTCAGTTTAAAAGACGTAAATAGTGATGAAAATGATTACAAAATACGAAATTAGTAATAAAAATGAGAACTTTATTTTCTTTAAAAAAAACTGTTCTTCAAAGCTTTAACTATTACAATATGTTTTTTTTGTTTTGCTGTTTCATTTACTTTGATTTGTTGTTAATTTAAAAGGTTGCTAATTTTCCTTACAATTCTATAATGATTAAATTTATTGCAGAAAATGGAAATAGAAAATAAGGTTTACCTAAATAACATTGACCAGATAGATGAAAAATCGCATATCAAGGTTCGGGTGCTTAAAATTTGGAACTTTGTCATAAATAATAAAGTTTGTTCCATTGAAATATGAATTGTCCATGCATGGTGGATAAAAAGTGCTCTAAAAACTTTCCAAAACAATTCATTAATCATTCGTCTGTTGATCAGAATGGTTTTCCGTTATATAGGCGAAGAAACGATGGTTATTTTGTAGAAAAATCAGGTGTAAGGTTGGATAATAGAAATGTTGTTCCATACAACAAATATCTATTGAAAAGATATCAGGCACATATTAATATTGAATGGTGCAATCAGGGATCTTCTATAAAGTATTTGTTTAAATGCATAAATAAGGGTCCTGATAGAGCTACAGTTGCTGTTGTACCAACCAACAATGAATGTGAAAATAATGATGCGGTCGATGAAATAGCTGAATATTACGATTGTAGATATTTATCAGCATGTGAAGCATCATGGCGAATTTTTAGATATGATGTTCATTGCAGATATCCTTCTGTTGTTAGACTACCTTTTCATCTTCCTAATCAACAACAGATTGTATATGGCGAAGATGATGATATTGATGATGTTCTTGACAAACCTTCTGTTGCCGCTTCAAAGTTCACAGCTTGGATGGAGTGTAATGCAATCGACAGTGAAGCACGAAAACTCACATATGTTGAATTCCCTACAAAGTTTGTTTGGATATTAAATGGTCGGTTTTGGAAGCGAAGGAAAGTAGGAAAAGCCATCGGTAGAATTCATTCAGTTTCACCT